CTCTCTCTCTCCTCTCTCTCTTCCCACTCCCTCTCTCTCCTCTTTCTTTCTCTCTCTTTCTCTCTGTCTCTCTCTCCTCTCTCTCTCTGTCTCTCTCTCCTCTATCTCTTTCTCTCTCTCCCCTCTCTCTCCTCTATCTCTCTCTCTTTCTCTCTCTCCTCTATCACTCCCCCACCCCTCTCTCTCTCTCTCTCCTCTCTCTCTTCCCCTCCCTCTTTCTTTCTCTCTCTCTTTCTCTGTCTCCTCCCTCCCTCTCTCTCTCTCTCTCTCTCTCTCTCTCTCTCTCTCTCTCTCTCTCTCTCTCCTCTTTCCTCTCTCTTCTCTTCTCTCCTCTCTCCTCGCTCTCCTCTTTCTCCTCTCTCTCCTCTGCCCCCTCTCTCTCTCCCTTTTGCAATATATGTATGTATATATATCCACATATATATATATATATATATATATATATATATATATATATATATATATATATATATATATACATTTATGTGTATATATATAAATATATATATATACATATATGTATATATATATACATATATATGTTTATATATACATATATATATGTATATATATACATATATATGTATATATATATATATATATATATATATATATATTGGTGTGTGCGTGTTGGGAGAGTAGAAATGTCTCCTGGGGGTTGAGTGTTGACTAGGATGGATACTGTACTAGTAGGCTGGGGGTAGTAGTTGTAGTGTTCGGAGCTGTGGTCAAAGGAGAGCCTGGGGTTAGGGAATCGGGAGAGTTTGAATTGTTGGGGCTATTTGATGAAGGGGCAAGCCTCATTACCCCTAATAGCGAAATGACACCTTCATTGTTGGCCATGGTAAGCCTCGAGTATGTTGGGGTTAGAAACAGTCCACTCCTCAGGGTCCTCTTGAGGCGTAAGGGTTACGCAACTAAAGCAGGGGAATACCATGCCCATGGCTCCCTCAGATCGTTCAGGATTGGCACAAAGTCAGCCTTTCATCCTTTCAGCTCTCACACCTTAGGAAGTGGATAGTAGAAAGGGTTGGTGAAGGGACAGAAACGGAAAAGTAGGAGGGGGGGAAATGCAAAATTAGTGGAGTCGAGGGCTGAGTCCCAAGGTTGGGGGAGTTCCCTATCATTGGTTCCCAGTCTCCGCCTCCTAAGCCCCCCTAATTTCTTGTCCAACAACGGGCAAGGGATTGGGGGGGGGGGGTGAGTAGTTGACCTGGAAGGATGATTTGGACTGGACCGAGGTGATGTAAGCATCGAGGATGGAGTAGTAGTAGCCGTGTTCAGAGTCGTGGTCAAAGAAAGCCCTGGGGTCGTAGAATCAGAATTGAAATCAGCAGAGCTATTTGATAAAGGGGCAAGCCTCAGGGTTTGTAAAATCTTTATTACTGGCCATAGCAAACCTGGAGTATGCTGAGGAAAGAAAGAGCCCACCAATAAGGGTTCTCTTGAAGGGAAAGGGCCAGACAACTAAATGGGTATACCATGCTCATGGCTCACCTAGGTCGTTCAAGGCTGGCACAAAGTCGGCCTCACATCTTTTCAACACGGATCCTAAACTTAGGAAGTGTATAGTAGGAGAAAAGGAAACGAAATGAGGAAGGGGAAAAGACCATGCAAAATTTTTTGAGTCAAGAGCTCAGGCCCATGGCAGGAGTGATCCCCTGAGCATGGATATATATATATTTTTTTTTTGGGGGGGGGTCTAAGAAGAGAAATGTCAATTTTAGTTCTCTATTAATACAAATTCCAAACAAATAGTTTAGTAACTGTTCTGATATGTTGATTTGCCAGAGAATCTGTTATATCTTACTGACATATTAAATATATGAAATAGGATAAATAAAAACAAGGTATCATATCCTCTTTTAATAGACATCTCTAAAAATCTATAATTCTTTCACTTTCAGGTAAGATACAGGCATGGCCAGTATCATACTGTAGATGTAGACAAGGAGTTAATTATATAACTTCTGGTATGAACATGAGTACATTCACTCACCCACACATATACTCATCTATACAACTGTTTTAAGTAAGAGGGAGAGAGAGAGAGGGGGGGGGAAGGAGAAAGAGAGAGGGGGAGGGAGTGAGAGTGAGGAGAGGGAGAAGGAAAGGGAAAGAGAAAGGGAGGGAAAGGGAGTAAGAGGAGTAGGAGAGTGTGTGTGTGTGTGCGTGTGTGTGTTGTGATATCTTTGCAGAAAAATATTTGTCAAATCTAAACAGGTGAGAAGTTTCCACTTGATTTCTCTGTCTTTGAGTAAACTTCCAGTTAAGGCCTATTACATTGTCAATTTGTGGTCAACACACATCTACAGAAAAAATATCACCTAATGTACTAGTACAAAGGTACTAGTACAAAAATAATGCAGAGGGCAATATGTTATTTTCAAAAGCAGGTTTACAAAAGCAATTTTTTCCCCCAAATGCAAAAAGGATTAAAAAACTGCATACCAGGTTCATAGTCATTTGGAAATACACTGCATATTTATACAACACAAAA